AGAATATTAAATATTAAATTTGAGAACTCATGATTTTTTTTTTTTGTGATATGGGGTGTCAAAAACCAAGGCGCACATGGACTCTAAACATTAAAAAAAACTTGGAATGGCCTTATATTTTAATTCATGTACCGGTATTTATTGTTAAAAAACAGACACATAAATAATGTTATTTATGTCTCTGTCTAAAACCAGAATACCTTTAGGTCCAGTCCATAGACTATTTCTATCTACATAACTTGTAGCTACCTAAGTATTTAAACCTACTCCAGGTAGCTATTTTTACCTACTTTTTGTTAAATACTTACATTTTGTGGCCATACACAGGAATGGTGCAATATGGCGAATATATAATTCTTGATACAGTCACTCTGATGATGAGTACGACAGAAATTTTGGCCAAAATGATTACTTTCTAACTTACCAATTTTGCATCAATAACTATACCCAGTTCCATTTTCTATGAGATAAAGATTAAAGCTTACGTGGTAAGAAGCCTGAAATGTCTTGCATATTCTGTAATTTGTACAAATTTTAAAACTTACCTTCATGCATTCTTAGATGAAAGGTTTTGGGACGATTTTCAAGCATTTCCTCTCCATTCTCCATCCTCGTTAAGTTTTCAAAATAAAATCTCGAATTTTGTTTTTCAAAAATAAAACCCCGAATTTTGTTAGAATTCAGGTATAAATCTTTGGACGGGACCTTAAAGCTCTTAAAAATTGTGTACACACACTGCGTAATGCATGAAACTTATGCATGAAGACCAAAACCTAAATACATAATTTGTACATAGAGCTAAGACCTTCAGTAATGACTATAAATTGATAAACAGTACCAGTTTGAGCTTGATGATACATAACGTAGGCAGTTTCATCAAACACCAACTCCTCCCCCTCGGCTATCGGGTCTCCAGGAAGATAAACTTTAGCCTCTCCTGATTCTTCTCCCATTTCTTCATCTTCTTCGTCCTCTCCTTCCTCCTCGATGTCTTCCATTTCGTCGTCATCATCAAACATTTCATCATCCACATGGTCCTCCTTGTTATTGTCAGCCATTTCTGAAAACGTGCTTCCGGTGTATTGGCCAATCAAAAGGCACGACAGATAACAAGGCTCCTTCGATACCCATAAACAACATGGCGGAACAGGTCTGGAATGACAGGTAAAGTGTTTTAGCACCAATTATTTTCGCTTGTGAAGCATAATTTTTGCAAGATAATCAAGCTGAACATAAAGTATATTCTTTATTTAACATTTACCACATCAAAGACGTTTTCATGTAAAAAACAGATGACAGAAAGTATTTTTTATATGTTGTTTACAGTACTTATGGAAGTTTCTATCCATACTTGTGGAGAGATGTTCAGTAAATATGCGTTTTCTACTTTGATGTTTAAGAAATCAGAATATAATAGCATGTTTAAAGTTGTAGTAATGTGACTGCTTTTTTTGCTTTAGCACTAATTCAGACAATATATTATTGTCAAATGTTTTTAGACAAGAATAATTATAAACATAAACACGTGCAGTTGCAGTCACAGCCCATTAAATCTTTAAATATTAATGCATATTTGATTTGATCGTAGTATGCACAGAGTGTTTACTAACTTAGCAGGGAAGCAGGAATGTGTTGTGATCCTCAAATAATAATTGTTTTTTTCTGATGTTGAATTCATGAAAAAATTAGTATACGTAAGTCATAGTGTTGATACATGTACAGACTCTGCAAAACATGGTTGCATACTTTATCAGCATGACCATTGTTAACATCATAAAATCATATAAATTTGCATTATCTGTAAAGGAAAAAAACAAACAAGTTACAACTTTTGTAGAGTTATCTCTCTTTAGTAAATGTACAAAATACCTATATATGTCAAATACAAGGAATGTACTACATATATTGACTAATGACCATTATTTATATTTGATTGATATTGTAACAGTAGAGTCCTTTTCCCAGTAGTGCTTCCACCAGCTGATTATCTCCTGTCAGCAAGGAAACTTAAATGTAACCTCTTATTAAAAATTAAATGTCCTGACTACCCAACCCTGACATTGACCATTACCAACACCTGAATGGAAGTCAAAAAGACTTATTATAGTGAGACACAAGTTCCCAAAGTTAACACATTTATTCATTTAATTCATTAATAACATGTTTTATTGTAGATACTTGTAATTATAATTTTTTTTTATAATCAACACTTAACAAAGCTATAGATATGTATTATCCACTTAATATGTTTATGAAGCTAAAATTGCAATGATATGTATTGAGCTGACAAGTAGCGTGGACCACATGTGAGATGTAAGCATGTATCACATGATACGTATTCTAAAAAAAAAAAATTAAAGGGATCGACTGGAGTACACAGATTTGAAGCTCACATTTTCTAAAATTTTCTAAATAAAATCATGACTTATATGTTGCTTGAGCATTTCACACTGAAATATGTACCTCTTTGCACTCATGTATTTTAAGGGCTTTCGAAAGTGAATGGAAATTGAATGTAAACAGTGTACCCCCACCTGAAATAAAGACAAATTTCTTCCATATGATCTTATTTCTACCTGAAATAAAGACAAATTTCTTCCATATGATCTTATTTGTACCTGAAATAAAGACAAATTTCTTCCATATGATCTTATTTCCACCTGAAATAAAGACAAATTTTTTCCATATGATCTTATTTCCAGTAAAAGTGGTATTCGGTGAAGGTGGGACAATACGAAACATTAAGTTACATGCAAAAAATTAGGATATTCATTGTTTGTCAATCTACTGAGGGGCCCGTGTAGCACATCATCCTTTGGGAAATGGGATTCTTATAGATATGATGCTTAAAAACTAAAGCTTGGTCAAATAAGGTGTATGAGGGCATAATTTTTTATGTAAACACAGTTTTAAGGGAAAAAATGGGGTTTAACTGTCATTTTCAATGCAAAATAAAGAAAACCTGTTTTAATTTTGACATCAAAAATGGATCTAGCACCCAAACGAAAGTCTAAGCTCATTTACTAGATCTTTACCTTAAGCACACAATTATACATTTTGATGAGGTAGAAACATGTGCAAGGCAGTTGTTTGAAGAGACAGTACCTTTATCAGCTAGTAGGCTACATCTGACTGTTCTAATGGGGGGAAAAGCACGAAGGGGATTGATTTACTTTATGAAGCTTTAATTTCAATGATATTGAATTTAAACATTTATAAACAATCATCCAAAGTTTGAAAAATCAATGGGATTATATCTCACCCAAAGACAGCTAGTATAAGTCACAAATCACGGGATTCCAACTCTATAAAAAAATTAAGTAATGATGGCGATACCATCTCCCAGCTAAATTTATTAATAGAATTTCTTTTGTTTTGGTTTGGAATACATATCCCCCTCCTAAGTTTCATTAGATCCATATCACTTGTAGATTGCTGTGCTGTGCTTGCAATGCGTGACATATGAGATATCTGAGATATTTTACTATGGTAACATATATATTAATTAAGTCATTACTAGCAATATTGAAATGCTCTCACCAAAAATGTGTGTATGATGAAATCCATGAAGTGTGAGGTTAAGGTCATAGGAGAGGTGAAGGTCAGAAAATTTACACATTTTTTTTTAATTTTATTTTACAGTATATATAAATTCAAATTGATTTTAAGTGTTATTAAAAAAATTTTTTTTGAAATGATCTAAGCCCTTGCGATCCATTGCAGACCCAGGAATGAAGGACAGATATGATGTGTACTAAGCTCCTAATGGTTATCAGTTTTGATCCATTGTCAAAATCAAACAAAACTTTGCACTGTGGAAGAATACTTGCATGTATTAAATTTTTTATGATGCCCTCATTTATACAGATATAGATTTTTTTTTCTGTTTGACTCGTAGCTAAAATTCTTTGCATTATTAAGTCACTACACAATTAATAGGAGCATTTACAATATGTTAAGCCCTTCTTTCAAGATAGACTAGCATATTTTTAACAATAACATCATCTTCCAGTTAGTTGATTTAGAAATAAATTTGCAGTATGGATTTTTTTCCCTTTTCCGTTTCTAACAACAACAGTAAACAAGCCGAATGCAATTCCTGTTATGACATTTTTCACAGGAATGAGCTTTGCATAATATTGCCTGTGACAGTAATTGATTTTAAGAATAACACTTCAGTAGTGATGTACAACACACAGTTATCAATCAATCCATTTGTGGCAACGACCTTAAACATATTCTATGTCTTTGAAATTTTTTATGTTAGGACCCTTAAAGAATATTGACTAGGTTGTAGGGATTAATTTGTAAACTCTTATCGTCCTTGTTATTTGGGCAAAACCTTTTTATTCCTTTCCGATCGTGGATAAGAGGTTTCCGTATTTGATGCTGCAATGAAGTCAATAAGCTAGGTGATTATAATATTCCAGAGGAGGACTTACTAGATAACTGATACGGAACATCATTGATTGGCTGAAATCACACCTGAAAACCCCATCACGAAAACAATATCTATTGACAGAGATTTTTTTGTGCTTTATCTCCGATGATTTTCATGTATCTGTGTCCATAGTTGCAGGTTGTCTGATCTGTACCATATACTGGGTTTACATATCAGGTCTAGTTTCTTCAGAGAGATAGTCACACTTTGCCAAAATTATTTTGATTGTGATGTTGGATACAGAATTTAAGTGACTGTTTTGTTATTCTTTTTGGATGAATTCCTCAATTCCTTGTTGAAGCAGAACTTATTGTAAAGTGTCATGTTTTTTTATTAGCTGTACCATCTAGGGGAAGGTATAGGAATTTTTTGACTTTATCATTTTACATATCAAAGGAAAATAAGAAGTCTACCAATCTAGTTGCCTGTATGAATATTTTAATGGTAATATTGACTGAATATTAGAACAAAGTTTTCATTTAAGGAGTCAGTATGCATATTGGCATTTAAAGTCCTTCTTAAAAGCTATTATGGATGTATACATCTTTTGTCACTAAGGTGAATTTTCTGTAACAAAATATGAAAAGGAAGTTGTGACATTATAAAAAGAATGCAAAACAGTGTATTGTGGAAAAAGCTTTATCACAATCCCTCCCAGTATGTTAAACCAAAGGAAGCGACAGTGGTGTCGGCCCGACTACCAAGGGAGGCTACTCCTGAGGATTATCGTGTGAGAAGGGGGTCAAAGACGGAAAGGTAACTGTATGTACAGTGGGCTTTCAGAGTATGGAAACTTAGAATTTGTGTTTAAATTTAATATATTTGGTTTATAACACATGGAATTTATAGTAAATTGTGCAAAATAAACATATTCTTCACTGTTTCACAATATATATTTTTTTACTGTATATTTATACAGCAGTAATTTATAGTAACTTATATATGATAAAGTTTAATTAAAACATTTTTTACTGATAGTGAAGACATTCCAGTATTTCTGAAAAACTTGAAGATGACTATGCAAGCCTGTCCTTTGATCATAGAAAACAATGTATGAACCAATTAAAATTTGGTGAAATTTACCCAACCTTTCCAATTCTTATACTTGCTCCAAAGTTGAAGATGTGACATACAGCTCTGTCGGAGAGTTTGTGCAATGTATCAGTATAAACATATTTGGCCCCTTCTAAACAGGTGCAAATTCTAGTGGGGGCACTCCCAAAATGCGCCCCCTCTACAACAAAAAAAAAAAAACAACTTAGAATGTAGTTTTCACTGTTGTACATCATACTGGGTAAGGTATACATAATTTAATAACCGTCATTAATGCTGGTTCCGTATTCTTATTGCTGATTATCAGGAGCTTACAGAGGCTTCGATCCCAGGCCCCCCACCAGTCACTGTCCTTGATCCCCTAGGAACTTTGGGGGTACCCAGACCTCTCGTCATCTAATAGCACCCCCTCTAACCAAATCCTGGATTTGCACCTGCTACAAGTTTAAACTAATGAATTGCATGAACAATAAGTAATACATGTACTTTAAGATGTAAGACTGACTTGTGTTTTACACATGTAGCAATTAATTGAATAGACAGAGAATATTCTCTAGTATGATAAATTCAAAACATGTATTAATTGATTTAGGTTGTACATGTATCAAAATTTACTTGAAGACTGATTTCTTTGAAATTTATTTCAGCCAGTGTTTGATTTAGGTTTACACTTTTTCAAATAATAATGTTAAAACTGTGGTGATCAAGCAGAGATAGATGATGGCTATTGATTACCTTTATAGATTAACTTTTCAAGATGCCGTTGATTTGTGCTAGGTTATGAAAACATTTTTCAAAGGATTGTTGAATTATATGAAAGAGACTTAAGCCTTTCATCAATAGAGCTCGAGACCAAGTTTTCTAGAGTACAATTGAGACATGCAGTATGGATCGATACTTTCATTCTAGTTCATGTCGGGGCTTAAATACATTTTTCTGTTGATTGTAGCAATAAAAATGATAAAATTCAGTGCTTTTTCTACAGTTTCACCTTAGGTTATATTGTGGTAGTTCTGTGATATTCACACATGCTAAATTCCCAAGCATTAACACAAAACATTACTTACCCTTCATTATGCTAGAATACATACTGATAAGAATTGTAATAAATGGTATTTGAAGTGAGAAATTTTTTTTTTAATAGATTTTGGGGGGTATAATGGTGTTGCCTAAGTAAGGGTGTACTGGTTTCTTATGTAACTTATCTCTGCCTTTCTGCCCCTTGTGTTAAGACATGCAAAAATAACAGTAGGGGTAATGCATTGGTGACTTAATGTAGATTTGAAACTTCAACAAAAATTGAGATAAATTGTTAATACACACTAACCTAAAACACAAGATATATAAGACTGAGCTAAGTATGAGCCTGTTCTGTGGTGGAATATAAACCTATTTATTTCTTACCCAGACATCAGCCTGTAGCGTCCAGCAGGTAAGGGTCGAAGTTCAAGGTCAAATATATGCTAGCTATTCTAACCTTTCACCTCCTTTCCTTTTATTTGATCTTTTGAGGTGACCTTCACAAGGTAATATTGTGAACCTTTCCTAGAAACAATTATACATCTATTGGTTTGGATTAACACACATACACACATACCAACAGTGTTGCCACACATTAGATTAACACATACTGCAGTAATTATTTCATGTAACCATTTTTTTTTTGTTTTAATATTTCTTTAAACTATTAAGGTGATTTTTTTAAATACACTTTTGATGCAGTAATGACAAATTGAGAAGTATGCTTTATTCTGAGGGTTATGATCATTAAAGTATTCCATATTTATATACATGTACCTAGCCTTTTCTTCATACATGCGAAATTATGTGCACTTAATTAATTGTTTGCTCGGTGGGTTTTTCTTTATTTACTGTCTTCTATTAGTTCCTAACATACAGAAAAAAAATTAATAAGACCAGTTTATTTTGTATTAAGGTACATTGTTTCATAAAGTCTACTCAATTCAAACAATGGTAGGAATAATAATTGCTTTTTTCCTTCAATACCTGGGTGATCAATGAATTCATTTTTTGAAACTGTACATAGATATATATGCTTTATTTTCTTAGTTGGAGAGACATGCACTTCCTACATTTTCAAGAAAAAATTAATTATCTATTTATTGAGGCATGTATGCTTTACATTATGCTGGAGCTGGCTGAAATTTGTTAATTAAGCTTATGTATACATATATATAATCTCTCGTTCTCTCTCTTTATAGACACCAACAATATGGGAGTCTGTATATTATTTCCTTTTCTTCTTTAAGTACTCAATGGAATCTTTAGAGACACAAATTCGTACTTTAATTGTCACTTGACAAAAGCAAACTATATTGACTTGTAAGAACATTGATTACTTTATTTTTGTTCCTCAATTAGCAATTGACTTTAAATTTGCTTACTATACATAATGAATTGAAAGTTAAAAGCTGTCAATATACCCATGAATAATTAAAAAGCTCCCCCTGAAACATTATATGGTCACCATAGCAAGCTTTGCTTAGACTAAAATTAACAAATGGAACTTAGATAGACATTGGTAGAGGATGAAGTGTAATTAAGTTAATTGTCTGATTTATAATGAATCGACGATGGAGCTTTAGTCAGCCCAGGGAGGAGAGTCCTAGCGAGGGGGATACAGAGTTCCCCACTCCCCCACCTCCTTACAGGTCTGACAATGTTCTATATTTAGCTTTCAAAAGATTATAACAGATGATATATTTTTCTAATTATTTTTTCAAACTTAAGTAGCATTTGTATTTAAGTCAAATCTGTTCTGGGTGGAAATGAAAAAAAACCTTCGCATATATTCAGAACTAGATTCAGTCTGTTTAGCCTTGACAAGTTCTCTTGCTTACATATTTTATGAGCCTGAATTACAAATGGAATTATGACATGAAATGAATATGTATTTTAAAAAGACAGCTATATAATGGAATACATGAGGGATTGGAAATTTGGTTACCTCATAGAGAGAACAGGATTTTTTAAACAAAGATCTTAGTGGATTTTTTTTTTCATATTTGAAAAAAAAGATGTTTTGAAATAAGCTTAAGTTTATAGGATATGTTTGAATCTAAAATGCATTTTTTAAATTAAAAAAAAATTAAAATTCAAACATTTCCTTTTTACTAAAATTAACATGTCCATAATTCATGTACATTGTATGACTCTTGTTCTCTGTCTGCAAAATATATATCAAAAAGTTGATAAAAAATTTAAAGAATTTTCAGTAGAATTTTAGGAAGATCAGTTACCTTGGGGTAATTAAAAAATCTGCCTTTTAAAGATTCAGTTAACGATCTTGTTTAAAATCTTTCCAATTTGTATCGATGGTCAATCTCTAATAGTGGTGACCTGTCGGGGAGTAGTTGAATAAAATATGGGTAAAACAGGTGCCCTTGAAGAATTAAAAAAAAAAAATATATATAAAGAAGTGTATTTCATCCAACTGGGGATGTTTTTCCTGATTGTGTAAGTACATATGTACTATAGTTTAGGCAAGAAAAGAAAAATGAAACTCTTAGAAAGAAAATTGCAGATGTCAATGGATGTTGATGGATGAGTGTCCTTTATATGATTTCCTGTACAAATCAGGTAGAGCAGCTCTAGAGATTAGAAAAGAATGTGATGGGTTATATTTTGTTTGTTGGTTACTTTTTTTGAAAAATATCATCTGCTGAATGCCATGGTAAATTTTCAAGAAGGGCATATATTGCCCTTAATCTGTGTCTTAATTAAGTCTAGCTCTTACCGCTAGTCCTATGTAAGGGGAGATAACTCTTCTTGATACATGTACTGGATAGTAACAGAAATATAATAACTGCTTTGTTTTCAGTATACTCATGCAGTTGTAATGCTTAGATTTAACAATTTAGTACATGAACATTATTGTATTTCAAATAGTAGACTTATTAATCAGCATTGTTGCTCTGCTAATTACTTAACATATTGACCACAATTTGCTGCTTTTAAAGAAAGATATTTGTGCATGCCAAAAAAATTTTGTTAGCAACAATATTATAATTATTTGTAGACATAAGTTGTATATTTCTTAATTAATTGATCTGGATTTTAAATATTTTCTCATATTGTTTCAAAGTGTATGATTAAATAATTAAATTTTGATTAAGATTAGAAATTATTTAACATAATTATACAATATCAAAAAAAAAAATGGGAAAGGTTGGAGCAAATTACACCATTTACAAGTCATATTGACTTGTTTAAAACCATTGAGTTAATTATTTTTTTCTTTCAGACCACCTGTCGCCACCCAGTTTCCATCCAAGTATGCCTATCTTCCTGAAATAAATTCCCCCAGACCAGATAAAAGTCTTGTTCCACTAAACGGACGGAAAGCTAGTCCAGCTGGAATTAATCCAAACTTTGACTTTGATGCAGATGAACGAATTCGCCAGTTAGAAGTTCGACTAAATGTTGCAGAAAAATCAAACCGAGCCCTTCTGGAGGAGGTGCTCAGACTACAGAGTGATGTCAAATCCTCAAATCGTAGAAATGAGGAGGTTTTGCGAGAGGAAAAGGGCTCGCGACATAATCTGGAGTCTGCCATGAAAATAAACAACGAACTCATCTCCCAGTTAAGTGCTAGAATCAAAGATGCTGAGGAAAAGCTGGCAGAAGAGAAAACATCCTTGTCATCACTTGTCAATCACACAAAAGGGGTGGAGCAAGCTGTCAAAAGTAGTCAAAATGAACTGATTGCCAAAAAAGATGTGCAATCTCAAAAGTAAGTAAGAAGGGTTTCTAGATAAAAATAAGTTTTATAATTTTCGACCCTATATTTTCTTTAAAAAAAAGCATATAATAACCAGTAATACACAGCTACTAATGTGTAATAAAGACATTTGGTCCTTAATATAATATGTTTTCAAGGGGCTGGACCTGTAGCTCTCTATTTAGAGGGCATTTATGAAAGTTAATTGAAATGAGTATCATTTTTCATTATTGTGTGTATATTGTGAGATTAATTGTAAAAGTTTAATTTTTAGACTTGTGGAGATGCGAGCAGAGATGGAGGACTTACAAGGTGCTAAAAACCAGCTGGAGCGAATTTGTTTTTCCATGGCTGATGATATCAGAAACCTAAAAATGAAAGTAGAACAACAGTCAGCAGAGCTTGGCACAGTCTCCTCAGACCTCAGAAATAGGTCCAAAAAACTAGAGGATGACAACAGAAATCAGGTAAAAAACAGAGAGGTTCAGAATGATTTACTGTTGTGTGATTATATTAATCATTACTGTGATAGATTGTGATTAATTTGGAAGGATTTTGACTTAATGTTCGAAAAGAGTCTCAAAAAATGAAATCAATTGTAAAATGTCTATTTTATGTTCAAGATTTCTTATGTTAGTTTTCATTAGATGTGATAATGTTGTGGCCAATAAGCATTTTATTTAGCTCTTTGTAATGTATACACTGGGTCTTCATTATACTCACAAAATTATGTCTCACCTTCAGTTGAAAAAAATTATTTATAAAATTAAGAAAGAAAGAAACACCATAATTTTTTTTCACACAATTGCACCAACAAAGAAAATTTTCAGTTTTTCATGAAATTTTGCACATTCAGTTTATAATTTCATTTGTGTAGGAAAAGCTGAAAGCTAGGGTATGTTTTATTGACTATAGTCATACATATGAACTTCAATCAAATATATCTAATAATATGAGTTAGTGACTTATCCCCAAAATTATGTATACCTTTTTTTTTACTTTGAAAGTAAACTTGACATCAGCCCCACATGTAACCTGTTACCAGTATTATGTAGTTTGTGTATAAAGCTGTGTTACTGGTACACAGAAACTCCACTACATGTAATACTTTTACTTATAATGCTGATCTTGAAGTTTAGTTACTGATAATTAATAAATTGAGCATAAAAAATGTTTTTTTTAAATGTTCTAAAACTTTTGTACCATACAAATGTGTAGTAAATCTTTTTTTTTTTTTTACACTACATGTAAGACCGCGGAACATTAACTGGCAAAATTGGAAATATACAGCTTACGTCTTCTCCATCTGTTACAGTCAAAACATTTAATGATAGACAATGAAATGGGCGGGTACAATTCAGCATGGATGTCCAAGAAAACATTGGATTGAAATTCTAGTTTAAAATTCATTTTCAATCCACCTGTGCTGTTTTCAAACGCAGAGTGTGAATGTATGATCCATAAGACAAATAATTTCAATTCCCAAATACATGTTGTTTGAAATTCATATTTAACATTGTTTATATGAGTTTTTAAATTATAATTTTAAGGACATGTAAAAGTCATAGAAGACAGAGATTATTTTTCAGGGGATGGCTATTTGATTCTAGAAAGGGGGGGGGGTTAAAAAATTGTCGAGTCAGATCATGCCTTCATATGACAAAATATATTTATTTCTACGATGACAAGAGGTTTTTTCTTTAGTTTTGTCTTCACTGAAAAATGTTTGACAATAAAAAAGGGAGGGGTTGTCCAAACTAAAAAAAAGCTTTCCTTTTTATATCGTTCAGCCCCCTCCCCCCCCCCCCCAACTCCCAACACATGCATGTACATACCTAATGGAAATCAATATGTGTCCCTTTCTGTTTCTTTAAAAACACTGGTCAGAAAATCTGATTTATATAACTTCAAAATATACAGAAATGGAAATTATTTGTCTTCTGGGTCAATCAGTAACTCAATGCCTTCTAGAGTAGCTGAGGTGGATTGAAAATGATTTTCAAACTAGAATTTCAATCCAATGTTTTCTCAGACGTCCGTGCCGAATTGTACCTGCCCATTCCATCGTCTATCATTAAATGTTTTGATTGTAACAGATGGAAATGACGTAAGCTACATATTTCCAATTTTGCCAGTTAATGTTCCGGGTCTTATAGCTTCATGGTTTTGCGGTCACAAAAATGAAACCATAAAATAAACATGAAAAGCCAAATAAATGGAAAATTGGGTGCATTGATCACTGCTACAATTTGAAGGCTGCCTATTTAAAAAAAAAAATTAAATCCCAGCTATTGTCATTATATGCCTTTAACTAAATCTGCAGATGGCAAGAACACTGATACTAAAAAAGTTTACAGTTTTAATACTGTGATTTCCTGAATTAATCTTTGTATTTGATAAAATTGAATGCACACAGGCAGAGGAGGTAATTCATTATATTGTAGTAAAAAAGAGTCAGACACAAGTTGTCTCCCTTATGCTTCTGAATCACCTTTTTTTTTAATTTGTTGGATCAGATCTATGTTTTTTTTTCAACATTCATCATCATTATACAGAGTATTCCATTGATAGACTTTTAAAAAGAATCTAAATTAATTTTAAATCAGTATTTTATAACTAAATAGCTATAGTGTTTGTACTTGTGTAGAGTTTTAATTGTTTTTTTTTATTACCAGATCTATAGTTATAGTTATAGTCGCAATTTTGAAAAAAAAAATACATTTTTGCTTCATTCTGCATTTGGTATTCTTATCCATTGATCATTCATCATAATAAATAATTTCATTATTACAGCAGTGCATTTATTTTATTCAGCAATGAAATTAGCAAAATAAGACTGTATGCAGAAATAAATCTACCTCTAGATTTCTCATTTGATTAAGAATTGTAGAATTAGTATTGTAGAAAAATAGCATAATGCTTTTAAAGCTCCTTTTTTCTGTATACTGTATTTTTTTTAATTTTTACTAATGATGATTTTCTTTGATAATTGATAACTAAAGCATCAAAAATACCAAGTAAGCATCAGAATATCCCGAAATTGTTTTGATCTTCATTTCTTTTTAACAGAAAGTGAGTTCAACTTTGGTATAATGTAATATTTCAGTTAGGTCAATATTATTTATGAGAATGCATGCACATAATGCTTTCACTTGTAAGGATTTAGGGGCTTTTATGAAATTATCCAGGGGGTATGTATTTGATTTTGGAAATGATTTTAAGTTTGTTTTTATCCAGTATTGATGTGATAAGGCGATATTCACAGCTTTCATTGTATACCTTTTTTATTGTGACACCTTAGCTTTCGGGGTTCTGATGCAGACTGTTTTGATTTTGTTTTCCTTCACTTTCAGGTTGCTGAATTAAGTTAACAACATAGATACCAAATAATGTATTGCCATCACATTTATTTGCTTATATTGGTAAAAGTTATAGTTAGTTTGGACAGTAATTTCTCAATACATCTATCAATCAATAAGAAACTGATCAATCTTCTAGCTTACAGATTTTTTACATTTAAGAAAATTTTAAATTAATTGTTAACTTAGTTAATAAGTGTTTTTGTTTCCTCTGTGTTGTATATAAGATTTTAATTCAAATCTAAACTTAAATGGAAACATTTAAGACTTTATAATTTGTTTGATATTTTAGCTGGAGGCCCTCAGGAAAACATCCACCATCCAATCACAGTCAGACCAACAGACAACACAACTCAAGGGCCAGGTGGAAACCAGGTAAACATAATGTCCTCTCAGAGTCTGGGCAAAGCATTAGACAGATTACAGTACAAAACTTAGCTTGCCATCATTTACAATAAAACATTCAGAAAACATCCACCATCCAATCACAGTCAGACCAACAGACAACACAACTCAAGGGCCAGGTGGAAACTAGGTAAACATAATGTCCTCTCAGAGTCTGGGCAAAGCATTAGACAGATTACAGTACAAAACTTAACTTGCCATCATTTACAATAAAACATTCATTAAAGAGGATCATATATATGTTAAAAAAAAAAGAAACATTATGATTACAGTATATTCATGAATATATATCTTTATAACACCCACTGAATCTTGTTATGTCAGATTTTCTCTTGACTCTGCATATGGTATATGGCTTTTGAGGAATTAAATTGTTTATTCACTTGAGAACAATTCTTTTTATTAATAGAAAATGAGTTATGTGAAAGTAGAATAACATATCTTTAAAGTACCGTAGTAGCATTACAAAAGCTTTATTATATTATTACTGTGTGAATTGTTTGTGTAGATTATCAGAACTCCGAGATGTCTTGGTGGACGTGAGAGCTAAACAGGAGTCTGAACTCACAGAGAGAAGGAACCTGGAGCAACAAATGTCAAAAAAGTAGGTCAACATATAAAATAAAATATTAAAAGTAAACAAGCACTTAACTGTCATTTTTTTCAGTCAATAGAAATAATTAGTAGAAATCAATGGATTACTTATATAAAAAGGTAAGGGCTTTAGTAAACTAAGAGTGATTCCCCTTGACAGAGCAATTTTCTATTTTATAGAATTTATGAATTACAACAAGCTCTGAGTGAAGCAAATAGAAGAAGAGAAGAGGGCATTCATGCAATGGACATTTTACTGAGAGAAAAAGACCACGTCAATCAGGCTGAAAAACTCAATCTGACATCGAAAGTGGCTGATACTGTAGAGGATGTCAACAAAAAACTCCTATCCAAGGAAATCAAACTGAGGGAGGAGATGCAAGAAAGATACCTACAGCTAGAGAGGGTAGGGGAAGTTTAGGAGAGGGTAGGGAAAAGTTAGGAGAAGGTAGAGGAAAGTTAAGGAGAGGGTAGGGGAAGATTAGGAGAAGGTAGAGCAAAGTTTAGGAGAGGGTATGGGAAGTTTAGGAGAGGGTAGGGGAATATTAGGGAGAGGGTAGGGGAAAGTTTAGGAGAGGGTAGGGTAAGTTTAGGAGAGGGTAGGGGAAAGTTAGGAGAGGGTAGAGGAAAGTTAAGGAGAGGGTAGGGGAATGTTTAGGAGAGGATAGGGAAAAGTTAGGAGAGGGTAGAGGAAAGTTAAGGAGAGGGTAGGGGTAGTTCAGGAGAGGGTAGGGAAAAGTTAGGAGAGGGTAGAGGAAAGTTAAGGAGAGGGTAGGGTAAGTTAAGGAGAGGGTAGGGAAAATTAAGGAGGGGTAGTGGAAATTTAGGCAAAGATAAGGGACATTTTCAAACTTCCCTGGATATGGGGATGTCTGGGAATATTGTTGATTAAAGGAATTCTTGGAACTTAAATCAGCTGAAGAATAGAGAAGGGATGGCATATTAAAAAATAAACTTTCAAGGCTCATTTTACGTGAAAAAAACATGTAGATACATTTGTACAACTGTATACACAGTATCATTTGGTAAAATTCAATGAATAATAGATTGATAATTTGTGTTTGCTATCATAAATCAATTACATGTATTACATCTTTGTCACTGAATTTCGTTTTCTTTCTAAATTTTGAGGATTGTATGTATTTTCATTGTTACATCTGACAGCTAACTCAGCAAGAACAACAGAACAGGAGGGACTCTGAACGAGCATTGAGGGAGGACATCGATCGGAAATTCCTCACCCTCAAACACGCCACGGAGGAACTCAACCTAGACATCAAAGAGCAGTTCAAGGTACTTAAAGACAAGAATGTAGCAGTTTAGTTTTGAAATGATTGCATAAGAAATACGACAAATTTTGCTGTCATTTTATGGCCTAGTTTGTCTAAAAATTAATCAGTGAATTTGTCTTATCTGAAAACTTGGAGGATCTTAGCTAACGTACAGCAATACATTTTACTGTGTTTTCTGATCTGTGTGATAGGCTCTTATGTTATCAATCTCATGTATAACTAGGTGTTGATTTATTATTCTTTAGCACGAGAAAGCCAAAACAAAAGAAACAATTTCAAAATTAGATGAGTCCATTTCAATAGTAGAAAAGCAAGCTGTAGAGAACAGGAAACAGTTTGAGAAAGTGATGGGTGCTGAAATTAGTCAGAGGTAGGAATTCTTGGTTTATCTATCAACATATTAAAGCTAACAAGATACAGTTAAACTTCGATATCTCAAACTTTGATATCTCAAATACCATGGATATGTCGAAGTGATTTGGAAGTCCCAATCACTTATTCTCTAAGTATTTTACCCCTGATATCTCGAATCCTCAGATATCTTGAAGTTTAATTTTTTCAATCCCATCAAGTTAGAAATGAGGGTTAACAGTATTTGGCAATTTGGTTTCTGAAATATTTTGGGGAAAAGTATTGATGACAGTGCTGAAAGGGAGACCATTTTGGGAAATATGAAGATTTATAGTGAGAAGAAATTCTGTGGTTTTGTAGGAAGCTACATGAGGCAAGTACCATGGAGAAGTTAGCCAGTGTCAATGAGAAGTTACAGATAGCTACCTCATCCCTCCAGCAGTCAATCGGGGGGATCACTCAGACCATGGCTAGCCAGAGTGAAAAGGTAATTAATGGATAAGAGTACCTGTCAAATGTTTTTTTTTCAGCAAATTCAGAAAAATGAAGAATGTTTCCTTTGCTTGATATAAGTCTTTAGATGAATTAGATCTGCTGCATTATATATATTTTTGCAAAATATTTCAGGCCAGGGCTAAAATTCTTGTGTAGTTTTTTTGGAATACAAAAAAGGTTTTAAAGAAAAGATTGAAGTTGTTAAGTATTGTAACTAAACATCTGTTTAGAAATTGTTTGAGGAAGAGTTTAGTCCCTTGATGTTGTAAATTTTGATTACTTCCATTGTAAAAATTCTGTGTTAATTTTAATTAGTTGAAGAGAGAGATGCGAACATTAATGTTGGAGCAAAAGGAGGCCAGTACAAGGGCTATGACTGACCTGGATGCCAGGATGGGCTACATGAAGACACGCATGAATGATTTTGAGGAGAAGCTGGAGTCACGTGTTGCGTCTGTATGTATCAATCAACTTTATTTCATGTCACTTTAGTAACACTGTTAATTGGTCTATAAGTGGTCTGTTATTTTCAGTGATGGTATAAAAAAAATGAGTTACTAATTAAAATTAATGCATGAAATTTTCTTTAATTTTCTTATACTGAATCTGTTATCTAAGCATAATCTTCTATGTACTGATAAAATTTCCTTCCAGTATAAAAAACTTCATTGAAACAAAGATATTACCTACTTGTGAATTTTTTTTGGACCTCTGAATTAATTTCATTTTATTTTGTTTGATGATTCAAACAGCCTAAAGATAATTCGGTAATGATCTCTTCCCTGTGTTGTAATGAATGTTCTAGCTAATGATAAATGTTATTTCACTAATACACTACTAAATTGCTTCAGTCCCATTTCTCAATCAGCTGTTGTATTTAACTGAATCTTTTCATCCAAATGAGACATTGTACATATGTTAGATTCACATTGAATATTTTAGAATTTTTTATAAGACACTCTCCTGATTAGATATTTGCAGTTGTTTAACTTTTTAAGAATTAATTTTCCATCATAGTACATATTTTTATGATAAATAGATGTTTGACTTATCCCTTAAGAGAGTAACTTTATCTGTAGATTTCTTCAGTCAATGTTAGTATGTGGGCTGACAAATAATCTTGGAAGCTTTTTGTACATGTAACATATTTTAAAAGCTTTAATCAAATTTCTACAGATTATTAAAAAACATGAAAACAAAGAGGTAAAAGTTGCGTGAAATAACTTAGAAATAGATGATGCATTTCCTTTTTTTTTTTAAATTATAATTTCAAGGTTTTTTTTTTAATTCTGAAACTTAGCGATAAAAATCTTTGACTGATGTATGAATTATTGTTTATCTTCTTTTCTTATTTAAAATAAAACCCTTCTGCACTGTAGAGAAATGTAGAATTGAACATTTTTAGTTTCACATCAAGTCATCAAATAAACGAAATATAGTAAGTATATTTGTGAAAACTTGACCATGCCTATATTAGTTCAACTTAAAATTATATTGCTTCAGGCGGCAGAGGATTTTAAAGTGTGAGTTGTACTTGAAGCACAGAGGGATAAAATGTTTATTTAGTTTGGGATAACAGAGGGTTTTATATATCATACACATTTTGATCACAAGGGGTAAAAATAATTGTGAGCACAATGATTCTGATAAACAATATATTTCAAGGGAGATCATGCACTCTTATTTTGTTGAAAGTGATATTCATGCGTTCATGTAAGTAGCAATTTTAGGGGCTGGTTTGTGAAAGGAATATCATTTGCAAAGCAAAATTTATTTCTTTAAATATATACAAAATAAACAATTTCATGAAGTTCCAATTATTTCCTCATATTTAATGACATCCTCACAATGTCAAGGTTTTGTGATTTCGGAACTCCACACTAGGGTTCGTGTGGAGTTCTGAAATCACAAAACCTTGACATTGTGAGGATGGTTTAACCATGCAGTGTCTCTTGACTCCTCATTTGAATTGTATCGCTATAATTTATGAAAGGAAAATGTGAAACAGAATAACTTATTGTTCAATCTATTTTGTAAACAGAGTCAATATAGAGCCACTTCACCAGAGGTATAAGAACTATAGAACAATAATAGTATTAAATTCCTAGATGTGTGACCTTAAATTGTCACTACTGTATATATACATATATATCTTACTAACATTTTACACAATATTTTTGTATGCTGCAAGGAAAAAGAACAAATGGAGGTATGCCCAACAAAGAGGGATATTTTAGAATAATTAATGCATAAAGTGTAATGAAAATAATTGTAATCTATCCATAAGTGTATTTGATATAATGGACAATTCAGTGTGTAAAATTTGCACTGTAGTTAGACAATTGACAAGTTTAATATAAGTTGCTTAAAATTTAAATAATATTAATTTGCACAAGTTGAGATGGGGGTGGGGGACATAAAGAAAAAAAGAAATGCTTACTGCACATAGGTTTTAGAATCAGCTATTAATGTTCAAATTTAATTGCTTAGGACATATTTGTTAAATCTACACATGTATATAAGGCAATCCACATAGCTTTTCTGCACATCTGAAATTGTGTGAGTTTCTTAAGTATTTTGTATATACAATTTATTGCTGAAATCCACATGCTGACAAATAAGATACTAGAATAAATCATTAGTGGGCACCAATCTTAATGCTTGTTCATAACATATACTATTGAAAATTCTTTTCAATTTCAGATATCAGATACATTCTTTTCACTGTAATGTTCTTCAGGTTGAAATAAACTGAACACTAATTCTTAAAAAAAACTTCATATAGCATAAGTTTGTTTTGACATTATTGTTGTATGTGTTTCAGGCTACTGCAGTCTTGTCTCAGAACCTTAGAGAAAAGGTGGACGCCATCTCAATTTGGCAGGACACCACACAACAGACCATTAAAGAGCTGTCCACTAACGTCAATAAGCTACCAGAGGAGGTCAGTCATTAGCAGTAGTGTTCTTAACTCTAGAAGCACAAATTTTCCTGGGGATAAAATTTCATAAATAATTGAATAGTCATCTAGAAAAGTTTCATGAGCATTAAATTTTGTTGTTTTGAAAGTAACCCTATTCAATATATAGGCGTATAAAAATTTTCGTGTGGGATTTAATTTTGTTGCTAATTGTTAACAACAAAATATACAAAATTAAATCCCCAACGAATATTTCTGCTTTTACAGTATATCAAAAGCCCACTACAAAAAGTCTGTTAAATAATGTCAGCTTTCAAGCATGAATACCGGGTGTATGAAAATTTACAAGCAAAACAGATTATTATACTATTGTGTTATAATATACTTAACCAAAATTCAAAGTATGCATATGACTTTGATTTTTCTATATGTAGGTGTATGCTCTTCAAGAAAAGCAGACACTTATGAAGACTGACATGACCAGTCGATTTACTGCGGAGTCTGAAGCCAGGTAAGTACCTCCTGGTACTATGATGATGATGTACATAGTACAGAGTACTAGTTAGTACTCCTTATAGATGTAAAACTACAACATTTAATAGAACAATCTACGAAGTACTACTTTCTCAGTCTCAAGTCTCTATGTATTAAATTTTTTAACCTTAATTTACCCGTTGTACATGCATGTATATAAAAAAAATCTTTAAAGTTAAAAGATTTAATTTTTTTTGCTTGTTCACAAACAAAGCAAAATTTTAATTATGAATTGTTAAATGCTGTTTTGTTGCTGTTCTTGAAATGTTGCATGTACATCATATTGATTCAGAACAAAAGAGATAGAACATCTGAAGGCAGAGCTTCAGAGCTTGAAAGAGAGGCACGATCCACTTCCTGCTACCAAATCTGACCTAGATAATGTACGTATAAATGTTGTTACTAGCCAATATCAGTGTTGTTAAGAAAATGTTGTTACAACATCCCACTGATTTATCTTCTATGTAAAAGTAAAAGTGACCTTTTGTATGCATGCCCTATAGATTGTTTAGGTGCTTTAGTACATCCCATGTCACACCCATTAGTACTAAGAAATTTAGAAAGGTACCTCCAATAATCTTTATGTACAGATTGAGCCTGGTTTGAATATTTCACCCCAGTCAACATTTGATAATCTTGACCTCACATTGTTTTATATGATACATAGATAAATTTTCAGACACAGATGCATTTTATCATTAACTCTTGCTTTTAACAGACTTTTGTTTGTTCTGGACCATACATTTGTTTACTTTTTGTAACCATATAAAAACTGCTGCATCCTCAAACCTCATAGACATATGCTTCTTGGCACAAATACCTTAATAATCTAGTTTACCGGTATTTTTTTTTTCCTTTTTGACCTTAATCTTCTGAATTTATTGATTATTTTTTGTTGGAATTAGAAGATACAATCAAAACCACTATATTCAATATCACAAGCAGTGTTATCCAAGACAGGTCATTCAATCAACAAAATTCTAGCATGCTACTATAAAATTTTTGATTTTAGTGCTATGTGATGAAATCCTGTTTACATGTTGTGTTTGGTGTATACCCACATTTTAATTCTTGTTGATATTCCTAAATGTTGTCTATTTTTGACTTTTCCAACCAGTTCCCTTGTTATAGTATGTGAAATAACTTTAAAAAGAACAGCATGTCCTATTTATCCACTAGACCTACTCTTCCCACAGCAGAAATTAGGGAATGCACATAGTACAATATCAGTGTAAAATAAACGATGACTGAGTAAAGATTTTAATTTTATTTGAAAATTTAGCTCACGGCTGCAGCTTCAGACGATCCTAGGGTTTGTCTCTCAAAGTGTCTTTAAATAGAAAGAGTTTACCTTTTTAGCTCACTTGGATGAAGTGTATCAATAACCATTGCTATACTCCCTACATTGGTGTTAGTGTTGGCATCCAAGTTAAAGTTTGAAGAACAAGTCCATTCCCAAGTAACTATAGGCCTAATTGTGAACAAACTTGCATGGATGCATGTAGAGATGCACACTACCAGACTTGCTTCGGATGCTGAATCTGACCTACATTTTCAGATGAGTGACCAGATGAATGTTTTTGGAGCAATTCCATTCTCAAGTATATCTATAAGCCCTGTGGTGACCAAACTTGTATAGAAGATGCATCTAGCAATGCACACTACCAAAACATTCATTTGGCAAGACTTTAACTTAATTCTAGTTACATGTACATGTAATATTCGTCCAGGTGAGCTTCATAATCTTTGATAACTTATGTTTAAAGGAATGAATATTTATTTTTTGTTGTTGATTTTCTGTTTGGTTTTTTTTTTTTTGGATTCAGGATAGAGTGTTTTAGCTGATTTACAGACTCTTGAAATACTTCAAAATTCATATACCGTAGTAAAACTCATTTAGTACATGCAAACACATATATAATGAATTTAGGGATACAGCGAAGTGTATTGGAATCCCCAACAAAATTCTTAAGAATTCTTTGAAAAATTTTTCAGATACATTGAACTCAGATATACCCAGTAGCTAATTTATGGATATAATGAACTGATTTATGTCGCCTACAGGATAAAAATTACAAAATTTACATTTTTGTAATGAATTTTCAATGATCTCAACTTTAAAATATTGATCTGATATTTTTTTTTTTGTGAGTATTTATATTTGAAATTCAATTCATCCAAAAATTTTTGAACTTTTGAATACTTCCCAAAACACATTTAATAGACATAATTGAAAAAAAATATATATTGTGAATTTGATATATATACTTTAACAAATTCATTATATGGATATAATGAAATAAGGGTATAGCAAAGTAAATTCAAAGGCCCCCAGGTCTTTGCTGTAACCGAGTTTTACTTTGCCTTGTTTATATTTTCATTTATAAGTTGAAGTCTCTATTACTGTGTTTTTTTTCCACCACATTTTTGTTATATTGCAAAACTTGATTGATTTTTATACTGGTAGATATATATATTAGTGTGGTATATTTATAGATAAATCAGAATATGTCGATAATGTTACATGGAAACGTAACACGAGTAGTATAAATTAATCTAGGAAATCAGATTAATACAAAACATATGAAAAGTCTTTTTAAATATTTTTTTAATTCATATTACAGAAAAAGGTTTATACTAGAAGATAGTTTCAGTTCATTATTTTTATACCTATTTTCCATTGATATCTAGGTACAGGGCAGTGTTCGTAAGTTGGCAGACTCCATACAGACAGTAAAGACTGTGCTAGGAATGAAGATACAGTCAGAGCAGAAACTGGTAGGTTTTCTCTATCACTTTATCTCCATTATTTAAATATACAGTCCACACAGGCATGGAAAGTCCCCTGTTATAATGTCATTGATGTTACATGAAATTTTATATGATTACTTTGGAAAATATCTAAAAAATATTGTTTTATACAAAAATTATTAGACAAAGTTAATGTTAACATTTTCATAAAGTTTATTGAGTTATTATATAAGGAAGAAATTGCAAACATGTATTAAAAGAATATCTTAAATTGCTCATATTAATCATGTTAATAATATTAATGTTCTTTGAATAAGTTGTTTAAACCATGAACTGTTTAAGTGTTTAGATGAACTTCAGTATTTGTTGTGTGGTAAATGTTTTAAGTTTTCAAAGCATCAAAGATTACTGTTTTTGGTTTGTTTTTGTTTTTGATTTTTTTTTCTTTTTAGAAATTTTGTTTAAGAGGAAATATTGCCAACTCAATTAAAAATTTTTGTCTGATTTTTAGCACCAATAATATCAGTGCACAGAAAATAATGATTTCAGAAAGCAAGCCTACATATATCAAAGCAAACTAAAAACTGAAATAAAATTATTCTACTTTTTAGTAGTTAGTGTTTTTGCACTCATTCATTTTTGGCATACCATAAAACATATCTTTTTATTTTAATAATCAAGTCATTCAAAAAAATGTTCTGTCCTAAAAATCAAATAAGCTATTTTTTCTATCATATTTTATGGTAAGGAAAAGACCTAAGAAATTCTTCACAAAAGGCAATGCTGCAGCATAAATTGCAAAATCTAGGAAGTCCTATTGCAGCATATTAGCTTTTAAACAGAGCAAAAGTATTTACCATACAGTAAAATCTTCTTTGAATATATGAATGAAATCATATGGCAAAATCCTTAAATGCATGATTTGAATATTTTGTGCACCTTTAGATAGATTTGATGTTGTCACAGCTTTTGTATATTGTGCTTTACAGAGGGTATCAGGATTAGAGAACCTGCAGGTTCAAGTGAATCAACTCAAAGCAAATGTTGGCATGGGCAACATTTATACTGGTCAGCCAGATTATCGTCAAGAAAATGACCTTGACACTGGCTTAGGGTCATGGGATGACCCTACACCCAATACTAGCTCTAGTAAAAACCCTAGTTCTAGTGCAGACCAACACCCAACTACATCTCGGGGTGATGGAAAAGACAGCAACACACAAATGGGGACAATTCCTGAAGGTGGGGAAACCAGTAGAAAGACGCCAGTCTCTCCCAGCAGAGGGGGTAAGACAAAAACTCCAACCAATAGCCGAACAGTAACACCTTCTAAGAGTAGAAATGTCACCCCCACTCAATCACGAAATAACACACCAACACAACCCTCTAGAAATGTTACACCTAACACAAATCGAAAGAAGAGTCCAGCTCCATCTACTGGTAAAGATGGTAGCAATACCAACCGGGATGGAAACCAGGCCAATAGTCAAGATGGGAACCAAGCAACACAAAATGGAGACCAGACAACCAATAGTTTAGCAGATGTATAGACTGTTGTAGTGGTATGTTATGGCATGTAGTGTTGGGTTCTGCAGGAGGAGGCTATAGTGCTAATAACCCCAATGCATGTTACCACTCACCAATAATTAACCAGGCCTATAAATCTTGTAGTCTGTTGGTGCTGCGCATGCTAACTGCTTTTCCTAAAAACGGGTTTTAGTTTAACTTTTCTTTTTTTTTTATTCCAAGGAATGATATATTAAAGAGTTTTTGTCAATCTAATGCTTATTTTGCCCATTATAAGTTAGTGATGCTTTTCATTTCAATCCTTAAACTCTTTGAAAGAGTCATTCCTTAGAATATTGCTAGCCAACTTAATCATTCTTTTTCACTTTTCAGATTTTAACAAAACTGACCATGTTTTCTAACATTTCTTTTTCCCAGTTCTAAAGCATGTACAACAAAGTCTTTGGTGGTGTTTCTAATCAAATCTTGTCTTCACTTGTTTCCTTGAATTTAGCGCCAGGAGGAAATTCAAAAATTACAAGATGAAATTGCAATTTTAAGAACCGCACTTGAACCTTTAGTGAAAAAACCACTTGGAAAAAATTTCGTAAAAGGTCGAGGAAATGCGGACGATGTTAATAAATGGAGCGTAGCAAATGCATACAGGTAGGTGACCCCAAATTAGTCTAAGAATAAGATATAATTGTAACTGATATCAATGAACATGTATTATTAAAAATATAGAAAAAATAATACACTTGCAACTTTTAAACAAAATTGATGGCGTTTATATAAAACAAGGATATATATATATATATATATATATATATATATATATATATATATATATATATATATATATATATATATATATATATATATATATGAAAAATATTCAAACATATAAAAACACAGAGAGCGAGTAAAACATTTTTTATATGTTTTTTTTATATGTTTGAATATTTTTCATATTTATCACCGACCACTGTGATTTTTCTTGGATTTATATTTATTTAAGGAATAACTGTCTTATTTTTTGGATTCATGATGTGATCAATTGAGTGGCTTGCATGATAATTTGCATAAACGCCGAAGGCGTTTATGCATAAAATTATCAAGCAAGCCAATCGATTGATCATCGTCATGAATCCAAAAAATCTGACAGTTATTCCTTATATTTACATGCTCCTGATTCTGCAAATTCCCGTGCTAATAGCCCCGCTTCTGTCTCTATTTGCCCCGCCCCGCACGTGATTTTTTTTAACCGCGCCTATCGATGAACCAGTAGATTTATGTAGAAATAAAGTATTTTTACAATTTGTGATTTTATCTCGGACAAAGACATTGGAAATGTAAATATATCTATATATATATATATATATACATATATATATGTATATGTATATATATGATTACTTTAGAATTTAAAGCTTTATTTTTTCAACTATAAAGTTGTATTGCCGATTAAATTAAGCAATGTTTTTGTATACATTAAGCAGCAGAAGAAGTAATACAAGACATTAAAATTTGGGACTAGAGGTTCAGTTTGCAAAAATAATTTTAAAATCTATAAATTAAGTAGATTCCTTGGTTATCGTTAAATATTTTGTTTATCTCTCAAAAGTGGACTTGTTTGACAGAGGGATAAGAGTATTGAGGGATATACCGGTGTTGCTAAAAATATTTTCAGGAAAGTCAGCCGTTCTTTATAAATTCTGTATATATTTTTTAAATTAAATTTATTCTCTTCTTTCCCACAGCGAAGGTATATCTTATTTAATTTACCGTTCACTGAATACCATTGATGTTGTATTGCATTACAATATTATATTTTGAAAAATATTCATTCCCCTTTTTCAATATTCTTTTAAAGCGAGTTGTTGTTAAATTACATAAATAGTTTTCCACTCTTTAAAATATGTTTTTAAAAAGGTATGCATGTCAGATTGTTTTTCTACCAGTTACAACCCACCTTTTCTTGTTTCACCTCCCCCTTTTAATCCGTAACATGATTGTTGTCACAGTATGTTCGTAAATATTGATCACCCGATAAAATTTCTTTAAATGTAGTGAAATTTAATGTTGCATGAATCCACTTTTGACCATTAACTGTACTTTTACTTTCTTCCTCAGTTCATTTTGATTATTTTGTTTCTTGCAATCTTCAAACCTAGATGCTTTTTTTCCAACTTGTAAATAGAATTCTTGATATTTAATGTCTAGAATGTTTAAGCAAACTGTAATGTTTCAGTGAAAATGTGTGAATTCTTAATATCCCCTGTTTATCTGATTTGAATTCTTAATATATAAAATGATTACGTATAATGAAATTCTTTCAAAAACTTTCTCTCAATACTTTTGAAATGTTTGTTCCATTTCATTCTATACAACGTATGATGTAGTTTGTTTGTAGTTGCTGTTGTGTTGTTGACGTTTAATTTTGTTTTTCATGCAGTACTATACTCGGTACATCTGATAAAAGTAGATGTATGGTTATAGTATTTGTATATAGTAATTTTCTGATTTATATATTATGTTATAATAGATTTACAGCAAGACAAATTTCGTAGATTGCAAACAGTTATAATATGTAAAGTTTTCACTTGTATTTAAAGTCAATAGATATAATTATGCCATAAGTTTTTGGTGCATATACTGTAAGTACCTAAATGTCGAAAATTTAGATAGATGCAAAATGATATAATTTAAATACTATTATAATAGTATCTCCTTAAAGCTATATCTGTTATGTCTTTTTTGTTATAATTTTCACGTTGGCGTCTCATTTACATCTAAATGAACATAAGTCTAACCACACCAATCTGGAAGCAAACGGGACATAGATGTGTCTCTTTTGTTTAAGGATAAAATTGGTTTTGGATAGATGTATACTTTGTTCATTTAGATGAAGGAATGAGACACTTTCTTTCAAGGTGTGCATTCTTCTATTGTTTTCGTTTGTAGATGGTCAAAGTGGAAATCCAGGTTAACATATATTCTTTGGAAAGTCCGACAGCAAAAGGCAAATTCAAATACACATGGACAGTCATCATCTGGCGTGAATTCATCAGAATCTGATCCATATAGAACTACTTGGTAGAAACATTGTTTCATTTTCTGACGGACGTCGCAAAAGGAATAGCTACTTTAATTACACAAGACATTATTTCTAGGAATCTATGTAACATCGCAAATTGTTTGATTATTTCATATACATGTACTTGTTCATTCCATTTGAGTCGTTTACTGTGCTGTACAAAGTTGACGATACACTAAATTACTGTTGTAGTCTCGTGATGAAAGTATAATATCCCAATTCACAGTGCTTTTGCAATTTCATTTGACATAACTAATTCTTTATTGGTTTGTTGGACAGAGATCTAGATGCCTTAATGATCATTGCACTATACCTAGACGACTGTTCTTGTACGTAGTTTTAGGGTGAATTTTATCAAAAATCCCTGCAACGAATGTTCTATTGATCTTCCATTTTGAGAAGAATATAAACTTTTTATGACAGTCTTACAGTTTCATTTCTCTATGAAACTCACTGTATACTGTATAAAGTCTTTGTAAGTAACTAAACTACATATTTTAAGAATTTATTTTACCAAACAGAAACACATAACTTGCAAAAACCAGCGTGTATTGCCAATATAATATCATAACCCTCAAAACAAAATTAAATAGATATCATGTAATATATCAGTTAAAATTTAATATCCCACACGTATTTCAATGACATTTAATGGAATTTTGTTCAGATATGTTTAGAATATAACACAGATTGCATCTTGGTTGCATGGTGCACACACGTGTAGCACAAGTAGGGACGATTTTTCTCCTCTAAAAGCAACTCTGTACAGTAGGTGTACAAATTACATGTAGATGTACAAATAACAAGAGCGTTCTTGTATTTTAGCTTCTCTGTGATATTATATACATGAAATTGTTGAACTTTTTAAAGTGTAAATTCAAAAAATAAAATATATTTATACTAAGAGTGTGAGTATTTGAGATCGTAATATATATTTTTACTGATGCAGAGAAAGGGATGTCTGTAGAGGAACAGTGTTCAAAAGCCGTTGGAAACATTTAAAAATGGGGGGGGGGGGGGGTTTCCAAGAATTTGGAATGAATCAAGTATTGTAAAGTCCAAGGTTTTTAAGTTTGTAAATCTTTCTCAAGGTTTATTCCGATATAAGAACCTAATGTAGAAGGAGACCGGTGTTTTATCAAATTTAGACTCATTTTTAGAGATTTTTAGGTCAAGATGTCCTTTAGGAGAGGCCTGCAATAAAAAAGTTTGGTATGTTTCGAAAAGGTTTGGAAATTATTTTATCTTTCAAAGGTAAGGCCACGCAAAGGTGTTCACCTTGCTTTTCATCAAATAAGGCATTTGTTCTATTAATGCCAGTGTTTAACAATTTAGTTGAACTGTGACCTTTGAGGGAACCACAGTTCGAATCATTGAAGATTGCTCATAAGAAGTATACATGTATGTATAAAATAGTTGTTTTGGTTGAAATCTGTTCTTGAAGTTCATTTTTCCAACAATTTTTTGCTTCTTCATAAAACCAGCCGTTACAAGTATAGGAGCGTTCTATCAAAGGGACAAAGCGAATGCGTTCCATTTAGGCCCCTGACTAATGTTCCCCAAATTGCTCAATTAGACAAATTATACTTTCTTCTGCTTAAGGAAGCTCTAAATACGGATGAGAAATGCTTTTTGGACTTTGGGGAAAATATATCATTAAAAGTGTGTTCTTTTTCAACATAAGGTACCTACTTTATTTCTCCAGGAAGACTGTTCAAAGACAATTAACTATTTGTAAACCGAAATCAATTTTTTTTCACTAACATGAAAATTAATGGAAGTAATGTATTCAATTAGTTAATCTTGGTCTAATATAAAGTTTAGAATACTTTAATTCATTACAAATTGTGTCATTAACTAGATTTTTATTCATTTGGGCACTTGAATCACCCAGGTGATCAATTGCTCTCTGTTTTCATCCATCGTCGTGCGATGTGCGTCGTCCGTTAACATTTGAACATTTTCAGCTTCTTCTCTGGAACCGCTAAACAAGTTCAACCAATTTTGGCATACAGCATATTTGAGTCAGGGAAACAAAATTTGTGAATTTCATGGTCCCTGTCCCCTGGGCCTGAGGGTTGGGGCTAAAACCATCAAAACAAGTGCTATCTTTAAAATTTTTATTCTTTACTCCTGGACATCAAGCAATTGAACTGTTGTCATAATTGTAATAAGCATTTAACCCTCTACCAAAATTTTGCAATTGAAATTCATGACCCCAGGGTCAGGGGCTCTTAGATCATACAAGAAAAATTTATAAATTCTTTAAAAATCTTCTCTCCACATGCAGATAAACTACATGCATAGTTACGATGAGCAAAGGCGCCTTTTCAAATTTGTGGCCCCAGGATCAGGTGGTGGGGGAGGGGTATATTTGATGGTATATTAAAAATGCAGTAATTCTTTGAAAATCTTCTTCTCTGCTTCTGGGTATTTATCAAACAAATGTAGTACATAGTTATGATGAGCAAAGGTGCCTCTTTCAAAATTGTGAATTTCATGGCCCCTGGGCCAGGGATTATAGAGTTAGGTCGAGGCTTTATTGCTTGTATAGTGAAAATGCATAAATTCTTTGAAAAATTTCTCCTCTGTTCCTGGTATTAAGCGGATAAACCAAGTGCATAATTATGATTAACAAGGGCGCCTTTTCCAAAATTGTGAATTTCATGGCCCCTGGTATTAGAGCAGGGCCCCGTTGATTACAAAGTGAAAATGCATTATTTCTTTGAAAATCTGTCTTGCTCCTGGTTATGTAGCATACAAACGTAGATCATAGTCATGATGAGCAGGGATGTCTCATCCAAAAGTGTGAATTTCGTGGTCCTTGGGTCAAGGGATCTGATTTTAGGATTGGTCTCTATTGATGATACAGTGAAAATGCATTAATTTTGAAAATTTATCCTCTGTTCAAGTGTATTAAGCAGATAAACTAAGTGCCTAGTATAATGAGGAAGGGTGCATCTTCCAACATTTTGAAAATTGTGGCGTCAGGGGTCAAGTCAACCACTTATTCAAATGTTCTGGGCAAGGCTCTATTAATATGTATTCTACTGAGAGAAGTAATTCCCATTTGCTATTAATCTATGATAATTAATCACTGTAAATAATGTAATGGAAAAGTCAATTTAAGATTTACACAAGAATTTTTATGATATATAATACAAAAAGTACTTTCATAGTTCTTAATGGTCAGGGTAGACTTGTAAATTATAGATAGGAAGAAATGAGACAAAATACCTTATCTTTGTACATTAAATGTTCTTCATAGATCAAGAGAGGCTGATATGAGAGGGAATGAAATGGGTTTACCAATAGTGATCAAGTACTATTGTTTTGTTTAGTTCACAAGGTAATAGTTACAAATGGGGACAGAAACAGGAAAGTAAATAGATTTATTAAGAAGCACTAGACTAATTATTTTGTTGATCCCAAATCATATTTATCTTGCTTTTGGCAACATAGTTCATCTTGTTTGTTTTATTTTATACTGCTATGGATCCTTTACAGTATTGTATTTATATTCAGGTGACCGTTAAGGTCCTTGGGCCTTTTGTTTTATTTTTCAGTTTGTTTTATTTTATACTGCTATGGATCCTTTACAGTATTGTATTTATATTCAGGTGACCGTTAAGGTCCTTGGGCCTTTTGTTTTATTTTTCTTCTAGGGGCAGATCACTCCATCTTAATAAAACTACCCGACAAATAGAACCCTTTAGTGTGCAGTGTTTAGAACTTCCTTAATAGAAAAATGTTAAATGTCATTGTAGGATATTGTTTAAATAATTTGATGGATACGTGATCTAACTACCTCAGTTGTCGACGCAATTACTTATGTGAAGTCCAGCGTAAATGTCAACTTTGAATTTGAAAAGTTATCCAATTTAAACATTCTTCCACGAAACAATTTTCAAGTTTAACGTGACGTTTTCTTTTCTCTCAAAAATGTGTTTTCAATTTTGCATGAGTTTTTTTCTTTCTTCGAAAATGTGCAATCCATGGCTAACAAAACGGGTTCCCCTAAGTTCTGATGGTATCAGTGTTTTTCCCCCTGCTCAACCGGGACTGTCGAAAGTAGTCCGACGATATATTCTTTCTTTATCTAGAAATAGAACTCGTGAAAGTTTCAACTCAGCACTTTTTATGTCACCTGAGTCATTAGATAACATATCGCTATAGGTTGTTGGTCGTATTTTTTTAAATTTCGAACTGCAGCTTCTACCGAGACAATTCTTGCTCTTGAGCACAAAGAAGACACACCTCGTACAAAAAGAGTTATCTAATAAATTGTAAAATTCGTGTCACATGGGTGCAGACTTCCAGTCCCAGCTGGGAGTGAGTTCACAGCAATACTAGTACTTGTTGATCGTCAAGGCAAAGGGGCCTGTCGTTAATTTACAAATACATGTAGTAAAATTTAATTTTTATCAAACTCAACATCATTGTAATCCTTTCAAATTGTCATACATTTAAAGTCGGAAGAATGTAAAATGTTCGGATTTGTTTGCACTGTTACCAACACTATAAGACTATAATTTTCTTATGAGGGCAAGCTTTAAGTGTAATGATGTTTAAAAAGTCATTTTGAATGACACTTCCCTCTGAAAATCTTTCATCTACCATCCTTGTAGAAAAAAAAAGACTGTAGAGCAATTTATAAGGCTCAAATTGATACATACCATCGAACTGTATATATGTATCGAAGAATATTGGTAATACTGGATATTTGCAAATTGTTAAACTCTTCGATAAACTGTTAATCAATATTTCTTTTCTCATCAAAATATGCATGAACCCTAAATAGGGACATCTTTTCAGTTGCTTTTTGAAAAGCACAATCATGACATTCTGTTAGAAACTTTCATTTTTGTTTAAAGAAAAAATAGACATGGACGGGGATACGTGCCACAGCTCGTCTCATTGAGAATCTGAGTTAATGAAAATATCAAGGTTTTCTTAAGTGACATAAGCCGGCCTCGCGTCCATGCAGCAACAGCATTACCCCCTTTAATCACCACTTTTTTTTATATCAAGATATAATAAGTTAAATAATCTTTTGATTTGAACGAAATCAATGAGCATTTTACAGTAACTACTGACTTTTGTTATTGAAATAAGTCACAAAAGCAATAATTGTTTCTGCTAAACACGATCAAACGTTTTTGTAATTTTCAATATATTTCGGAATCAGTACTTTCAAGACTTTGATTTTCTATTTCACAATTAAACGAAGCTCTAAAATGTAAAGAAAAATGTTTTTTGGACTTTGAGAAAATTGTATCATATAAATGTGTACCGAGTTTATTTTCAACACGGGGTACCTGTCATATTTCTCCACAAAAATATTCAGACATTGAAGTATTGATGAGCAGAATATCCGTGTTACATGTCTTTACTTAAATTGGGAATATATAATTATGCAAATCATGTTTTCGATTACTTTATCGTCCGAGTCTAATATAATATTAAGAATATTTTATTCTATTTCAAATGTGTAATTTACTCTAAATTTCCGTTTATTTCATTTTACATCAAAGGGCAAATCACTTTTACTGCATAAAACTACCATCGGTTTTGAACTCTTTAGAGCGCAATGTTTAGAGCAATGTGACTGAAAAAGAACATTTTTGGTGCCGTTATCATATAGCAAACCTTTCCCAGCAATGTTTACTACATAGACTATTTAGTAAAGTTCTACTTTGAAATAATTGCTATACAGCGAACTTTTTTACCCCGGGGAAAATTTACTATGTAACAAACATTCTCCATGCATAGAAATTCATCCCTTGGGATTTATAGTAAACGTTCCCCAGGCCCTTAATCCTGATGATTATAATTCGAAATAAAGTATGCATAAATTTAGTGAATTTTGATGGTTAACAACATTTAAAACGATGAATGTTCATGTTGCTTGTCATTTTTTTCGGGTAAGTTGTCTTTCCCCCCCCCCCCCCAACTTTCAAAAACAATACTACGTGCTTGTTACCTGTGTGTAAAAAATGCATGTTCACAAAGATTGATTAAAGATTATTTTTTATAAGCTGAAAACAATATCTAATGATTTTCACAACAATAAAACTTGCATACTTGTTGAACATTAACTCATTGGTGATTACCCATAGAATACATGAAACCCGAACTAGATATGCCTGTTGTAAATTTTCATCCGGGAATGTTCATAGTAAATTTTCCGGGGGGGGGGGGGGGGCTTGACTATGGGGGAAGGTTTACTATATGACACATCGGTAGCCGCGATCATGATATGAGAACATTACTGCGATGCCATTCCTTGGTTCTTGCAGTCTAAGAATTTACCTGTGGCAGTCTGATATTAGCGAGAAGTCGGATATTAATCGTAATATCAGACCGTCTCAGTAATACACTATCCTTCAAAATTGGACTGTTATTGAATAAAAGAAATCAAAATGCAATTATTTAGCAAACAACAGTGTTTGATCTTTTGTGTACAATGATTATTTTTAAAACAGAATATTATTTATTGATCATACAGAATTTGAAAATAATAATAATAAAAAAACAACTTCCAATTAAAAGAATATACTGTAATAGGAAAGGAGAAAACAAAACGATTCAAACATGAGCTCCCTGAACTTGTAATAAACTTGTTAAGATTTAAGCGATGTTTTCATTTAGTGTTAAAAATTAGGAAATTCCGTTATATGGTTAGAAACTATTGAATGTTTGTAAAGTAGCTGCTAAATCTATCATGTCAATCATAGGAAAGATCTACTTCTCGTTACAATTTAGAAAATTTAGTATCCATTTCACATGCAATCTTTTATAAAGTTATTCTCATAAGTCTGTAATTAGAAAGTAATATACCTTCAGCATCGGCTTTATTTTCCGTGTTTGTTCAATTCAGTTCAAGTCAAAGTTCCCATCTGCATTTTCCTTTTCATTCTCAAAAAATATCATTCACTAAATTGTCTGTATCATATATAATCCAATGCATTACTTTAAGGTCTATGCACGTTTTGATTAAGGAAAATTTCAGCCGCATTATCCATTCCAAACAATTCTATTACTTCAAATACATACGATTGTGTAGCTGATTTTAAAAATACTGAATAGTTTTCATTCAAGCATGCATTCCTGAAAGAATTGCTTCAATGGTCATTAACATTTTGGCTTTTTTTTAAATATCGGACTGTCTCAGGTAAATCAAAAAGTGTAATTCTTAAGTACGATATATGCCTCATTCAAATATCAGACAGTGTTCGGCATATAATAAATAATGGTCAAAGTAAAAAAAAAAAGAGCATAGTTTCTAAAGACCATTTACTATTTTAATAATGATGTATCTAAATGGGTAGAAACTAAATCTTTTCATTTTCTATATTTTGAAGAAAGCTTAATTCCTTGAAGTGCCATTACAATTTCAAAGAATTACATGTAAACGTTTTCTTTGAATTATAAATGATTACCTGTAGTTTTTGCTCATTTGGATACATGTACATCAATATTTAAAAAAATATAATCTTTAAAATATTTGTTGAAAAAGTTATTTTCTTGCTTTTATTTTTAGTGATCCAAAGGAAAAACTAAACAGAGGGCTGACTAATGACAGTGGAGTAGTTAAGGACATCTCCGAGGAAGATTCAGACGACGATTCCGATGAAGGCGCATTTTTTAAGAAGAACAAATCAAACAAAAATAAAAAATACGACTCGGAAGATTCCGATGAACCGCCAGCCAGAACTAAAAATAGACCAAAAGGTGGAGAAAAATCGCCCAGAAGAAAAAAAGGGCGATCCAAAGATAAAAATTCTCGCTCACCGTCGAAAAAGCAAGATTCAGAAGACGATTCCGATGAAGGAGTCTTTTTCAGAAAGAGTAAATCCAACAAGCATAAGAAATACGACTCGGACGATTCCGATGAACCACCCACCAGAACAAAAAATAGACCGAGAAATCGAAGTGCATCATCCAGAAGAGAAAGAAGTAGAGGTCGATCTCGACGCAGAACTCCTAGTCGGTCACGTGAGAGATCACCAAGTAGAAATAGAAGATCGCGGGGCAGAAGTAGAACACCAAGCCGTAGAAGAAGTAGAACTCCTAGACGATCAAGTTACCGAAGACGAAGTAGAACAAATAGCAGATCGAGATATCGACGACGAAGTAGGACGCCTAGCAGATCTCGAGGAAGGAATAGATCACCAAGTCACAGAAGACATAGAAGCAGAACACCTCGTCGATCACGTAGCCGATCCCGATATCGTAGTAGATCTCCAGAGCGATCACGTTACAAAAGTCGATCACGAAGTCGGAGAAGAAGTAGAACTCCCAGACGCAGGTCACCAGAAAGATCAAGAAGGAGAGACAGAACTCCGAGCCGTTCTCCAAGAAGAAGGAGGTCGCCATCCGAATCTCCGCGGCGAAGAAGATCACGAACGCCAAAAAGGAACAAAAACCAAAGGAGATCTCCATCGTCCAGGAAGAACCAATCAAAGAACAGAAAAGACGAGAAAAATAATAATAGAAAAAGACAGGACAAGGATGATCCATGGAACAAAGATCAATACGATAAGAACCAGAAAGAAAAGAGAAGACAGGAAAAGGAGAGAAGAATGCCCACAGATTCTGAACCGGACTCGGAGGACAATAAAGAATTCCGGAAAAAGAACAAAGCACGTCGAAAGTAATAAACCACAAAAGTCATAGTACAGAACTGACAAGCGCCGTTTAAACGGCTTACACTGATTTCTGTTTTAGACATAGGATACTCATGAACTACATGTATATCTAATAAAAATTTGTTAAACAGTTTGTAAGGGTTTTATTATTGCTGAATCATATTTATGACAAGACTTTCCTTGAAAGGGCTTTGATTGCCAGTATCTTTGGAAGAGGTTGACATTCTTTTCGCTTTCTCTGTTGACAATTTAAGTCGACCCTTCAGCAGTATATTTTGCAAAACAAAGAATTAAGACCATTTCAGAAGGGAAGAAAAGTCATTCACCTTTACCTTACGTCAATAAACAATTAGGTCTTCATCAGATTCTCACTAAACTTTACTTGTCGGAATATGATAAATCCGATTCAATCTGTCTGTTCCTTAAACTTAAAATTGCCAACAAAGAAATAGATGCTGTGGACACTAGTACGTGTTTTAGAAGAACTTAATTCGTTCTAAATCTGACTGGTTATACTTATATTACAGGTCACTTTTAAGGACAAAATTCTTCAAAATCACATTTCAGTCTTCACATCAAAATGTATGACTTTTTGTTTATGCAGTTTATGCAACAATACCTTAAAACTAGGTCTTTTGATATCATAGACAACTGCTTCTTTAATAAAAATAGAAATGTTCATATATTGTCTTTGGTAACCAGGTCTTTCAACAAACTGTTGGAATTGTGCTGGGCACTAATTTTGCTCCTTTATTACCCGACCTGTTTTTGAAGGCCACAGCAGTTGTTTTCCTTTTCTCATCTAGAAGTCTTTGAAAACAAATCTGCTTCATAGGAATATAAAAACAGGTCGAATTAGAAGAAAACACATTGAGAGTCCAACGCAATAGCAAACAGTTTGTTGGAATACTAGTATCTGGTCTCCGAAGACTACATAGATGTTGTCAATGAGGAACTCCAGCATCCTCTTAATATCAACTTCAGAGTACTTGACTGTGTATAAAATCAAAGTGATAATTAACGAAGTAATTTTGTTGATGACCAATCACAAGATCTGAAAATTTGAGAGTTCCGTTTTTTATTGAAGAAGGTGTCTACGATATCAAAAGTCTAGTTTTTAATTAATCGTGAGGAATGATTGTATGAGTGTTGAAAAGTCGTACGTTTTAATGTTACTGGCTTTTGAAAAAAAAATGTTGATTTTTAATTTTCTTAAAGTTCTTTGGAGGGTTTGAGAATCCAAATCTGATTTACACCACTTTTCGAATATACTTTAGCACATTGCGTCTCAAGTTTCTCCTGAACAACAGTTAAAATGTTTGTAAGCAGTAAAGATAGGGGCTTGGTAGAGCATTTGCTGGACCCGGTTGTATATCTTTCCTTGTAAGGATTATAATAAAGTTTGGGAATCCAGTATACAGATAAGATAGATCGAACTCACCTTCGCTGACTGGAATGTTAAAAAGTATTAAAGACTGAAATATGATTTTGAAGAATTCTATCCTTAGAAAGTGAACTGTGAGTATAAATAGGGTTTTCAGACGTAGAATTTTATCCTTGTTTTATAACAAAATGCTATATTAATAAGCCTTACAAACAAAATCGATATTGTCTGCTGGAACCATAATATATTGTTCATGTAGTCTGTGTAATTCTTTTATTACCTCTGATTTAGTGAAATAGAAAAATTCCTGATACGATTCTTCAATATATTTCTAAAACACAAAATCCATTTTGACAAAGTGTTCAGGTCTTCTCCGTCATTTTTAGCCCAACCAACTTCTGGCATAATCCTCGACAGAATTTATAATAAGAATGAAGTTCTTCTGCCAATTGAAAATATGGGGTCCCTATATTTAGGACCTTTTAAAATGATCGCTAAAGTCTTCATTTTTAAACTATATTATCAGCATTAAAAGGCACTACAGAGTCTGTCATATTTGTTATATATTTGGATGGTTTACTTACTATTAAGTTTTGTATGTTTAGGGCCAACTAACAACTAAACTTTTTGACAAACGAGATGACCAACTTTTCCATCGCCAACTTTCCTTATTTATGTTGTAACATTCTGCTATCACCAGCATATGATGTTTACTTCTACCATCTTATTCGATCCTCAAGAGCATGCTCTAAGTAAGATCAAAGTTTAAACCTAGGCAGGTTAATGATAGATAGGTTGATGTTACAGGGATTTCAAAAACCTCGTTTTAAGGTCAGCACTTCGTAATTTCTATGGGCGTTTTAATGGTTTTGCAAGCAAATATAACCTATCATTGGATCGTATTTTGATTGACCTATTTCACACTAATTGTTAGGCCTTTGTTTTATATTAAATTTGTCAACGAAATATTCCGTCTATCTGATCAATACATAGAGTTCATGCGGATGTGACCAGTTTGCGGGGGATGCTTACTCCTCCTAGGCACCTGATTCCACCTTTGGAAACTCCATGGGTCCGTATATAACACAATTACTCAATGTGTTGGGATTATAAAATCACAGCAAAGGCAAAAGCAATGGTACATTAAAACAAAGTTCAATGGCTGCCGGTCTTGGAGCCAAGATGGTGAAAGCTCACATATTCAGTCTAGGAGCTAAGATGGTAAAAAGCTATTGATACTCAGTGCGCACATCTTTTGTACAAGAAGCTGCATCATAGGGATCACGTATTTGGTAATAAAAATCAGTAAGATACATTGTCACTAAATTAATATAGTCCGCCCCTCACTGAAGCTCTGTCTCTCATCTCCTTATAGGATACGGCAATGTCCTCTGTTTACATTAACATTGTGTATCTTGCACATTCTTCAGTTATCTCGAAAGAATAAGCAATTCAGAATGGCAGTATCTGTCATGGCTTTATTCTTGTTTAACATTATAAGGTAATCTATACTACTATATTAAAATAATAGACTCGAATTTTTGGCCTTTAATACCGATAAATCGGAAGAGTACCGTCTTTTATTTGATATATTTTAAACATCATTGGTACTTGAAGATTACCAATTTGTTTTTATTTTTTCTCAATTAAGCTTCGCTAATTGATAATCAACGAAAATTCCTCAAAAAATTCCGGAAATCATCTGGAATTTTTGGATTTTACAATCTTGCGCGTGCGCATTATATTCATGCTAAATCACGGTGTTCAAATCAATCTCCCTTGCAGAGTTGTCGTTCGTTTCTCTCTTATACACGAATGTATGAGCCGTTGGTCGAGAGTGTGTTCAAATCAGAGAAGACAAAAGTATATACTAAGTAGATATATATTTGTTATTGTATAATTTCTCTAATAAGAAATCATTAATGTATATGAACAGAATATATAGCAAATTTCCAATGAAAATTTACACGTATTTGTCATAGGCGTCGGAACCGGGGGGGGGGGGGGCTAGGGGGGCTTAGCCCCCCCCCTTTTTCTTGCAAAGATAGGCATAATATAGGCATTGAAAACTTGGGCTTACCTTTTTTCGTTGGTTTAGCCCCCCCCCCCCACTTCAAATAGCCACCCCACTTTCAATTTGCTTCTGACGTCTATATGTTTGTGTTATCGTAATCGTTTCTGAGTTTATATCCATACAAATGTGATATTGTGGCCACGTGGGTAATCATTCGCCATCTCGGAGACACATTTATTATATGTTATTTATATCTCTGGCCATAACGGAGGCAAAAAGCTCATGATCGTAGGAGCAACATTAATGTAACTACCCGATTTATTTTATCCCTCCTTTCTTTTATGCTTTTTTGAGGGGAACTGAAGGGGGGAGGGGGTGTTACAACTCCAGTTAGAATCACATCTTAGTGAAGAAGGCATTCTTTTTCCGCCAAAAATTACAATAACTACTATATAAAAATTATAGACTCGAATTTTTGGCCTTTAATACCGATAAATCGGAAGAATATTGTCTTTTGTTTTATGTATTTTAAACATCATTGGTACTTGAAGATTACCAATTTGTTTTTATTTTTTCTCAATTAAGCTTCTATTTTTATGACTTTTTCTATGTACTAATTCAAGGATATTACATTAATTTTTATCAAAACAGACAGTCTTTTACAGATTATATACCTGTCTATTACCTGTGTATATATAAAGTATATGTATTAGCAGTGCTCAACTCTTTTATTGTTGAGGTCATATTTTGAAAAAGTTGAGACCTGCAGTGTTAAAATTGTTACAAAATTTTTTACACCTTTACTTTAATAACTGATTGTGTAAAAATACCAGCTTAGCACAATTCTTCATTTTCATTACTTTGCTTGATATGTATCAACAGTGTGCTCAACTCTTTGCTGTTGTCATATTTTCAATGAACATCGATCCATAATTTCTTTTATTAAATTTGTTTGGAAAGGTGAAATTTATGTAAGCTCCGGCGTGATTCGAACTCAGGACTTGATTTATAGCTAACTGGTGGTCAAACCCATTCTGCGCTACGCCGTTACGCAACAATTTAAAAAAAACAAAACAAAACAAACACACAAAAAAAACAACAGAATTATATTAACATTCATTGTTTATTTCAAAAATACCTTACAATATGAATGTGTCGATGTATCTATTTTGTAAATGTCCGATATGCACATGGATGCATTCATAACAATGTCAACCCGTGCACGCACGGGTCAAAATCTAGTTACATAATAAAACAATGGTATCAAAACAATGGACAATAATCAAGTATTATAGCAAGTGTCAATGAGTAAGCGCCGATCCTCAATCTGGCATTTGGCGCATACAGTTTGCAGAAATGGGGAGCCATATGGTGCTGACAACCCTGGAGGGTAAACAGAAGTTGCCAGCGATGGCTTGTTGCAAAATTCTGCCAAGTGGATTGCTGTACGGGAATTTCGAGACAGCAATCCATCCGCCAACAAGTGGCGGAAAATTTGGCAAACAAGACATCATGTCTAATGCAACACAATAATTAGCAAAACAATTCAATGCAACATACCAATATATCATCAAGCATGAACTGAGGGGGAAAATGGGGAGGGGGGGGGGG